TGGTGTTGTGTCCCGAGGGTTGTGTTATGCTGTCTTCTGGAATATTTTCCGGATGTCCTACTGCGTATATCCTCTTAATTCGTACTTTGGCAAATTCGTACTGAATTCATATTTACATGTATCATTGAATGTGTAAAATTTCTATATTAACCATCCTTGTTATTAAATAGTTAATAATGATATACGGTAGTTCGACTTTGTCAAGTCCGACCTCGTTATGGTCCGACAGTGTTATAGTCCGACACTATCATAATCCAAATTATCTATCAGCGAAAAATAGGATTGACCCGCTCAGCGAAGATCCGACGTTGAATCAATGTTGGCAAATCAACTCGATTTGAATTCAATGTTGATTCAACGTTTTTTCAACGTTGAAAAGTCAACGTTCAATCAATATTGTATCTAGATTTCTCAACGTCTAAACCCAACTTCAACGAATATTCAACGTTTAAACAACATTGTGTGCCTGCTGGGTTCATACAACGAAAATTTGCTTATGTGTGCAAATTTACATATATACGTTAATCTACACACGTAAGTAAAAGTTAATTTGCTATGCGTTCAGACGAGATTTATGTACTGTTAGTAAATCCTCATATTTTCATATAAAATAAAGAGGTGGACAAATTCATAATTTAAATTTTTTAAAGAAAAAAAGTATTTCCTTACTGTTTGGGTATAAGACTAACTTTTGAATGTTCCTCAAAGAAACTTGGGTGGGCTGGGGGTTTTGGGTTCCACTGATTTATTGGGGAGAAAAAAAAATTAGCGACTTGAACATGTTGAAGGACCAAGAATGGTATACGAATTTATGCACGAAGAAGGGAAATTCATCAAATATTTTGTTCAATATTGGAACATATTTTGGCTTTGGTCCTAAAAACTGTAATATTAAATGTATTTAACACCAGGTTTGCTTTGCAAATGCACAACAAGCAAATAACGAACAAGTCAGACCTGTTATAAAGAATCACAGTGATTATTTTTATATATCTATTTCAACGATAGGTACATTGTTAAAGAAATAGAAGTAGGTGCACTTGTAGCAACTGTCAGCTATGTGTTTTTACTATTAGCTACATGTACATCATGTATACATAGGAAGAAATTAAAGTCTTTAGACTTGGCTTGATTCTCTTACAAGAAATCAATCTATTATAAAGCTAAATTACACAATATACAAAATCTATGAAGATATTTGAAAAAAAAAGGATAAACAAAGTTAAACAAATGCACGTAATTAGTTTTAATCAGATATGATCATTCACGGCGTTTTGTCTGCTAAGTGGTTCAGCATAAATTCCTGTGTATTGATTACCGATAACGATAATAATGCATTTAAATAAAAACATCTGAGTAGGTGTTACCTTAATGTATTGAGTTGTAAATGATCAATGACAGAAGGTTAAGGCGATCTGATAGGTAAGACAAACATTTTTATTATAATACCTGAGCTGATTTATTTCGTCAGGCATTATATTTATTCATCAAAGAAATAAACACATCTTATAAGCTGTTACCTTTTCAAAAAAAAAAACAAAAAAAAACTCAACACTCGTCGTAGATAAATCAGTCGGGAAGTAAAATATTCGCCACTTTTAATTTTTTACAGTGCAGTTTTAATTGTTTGATTTAAATAAAACAATTCCATTCAAAAACTGATTATTTGCAATTCTTTAAAGGAAAAAAAACGTGTCGAGAGAAAGTGTGATAGCCAGTGAATCTGGAAAAAAAATGCACATCTTTAAATTGACCAAAACGCAGAATTTAGAGTTGCTTTGCTCGATACGTACCACAAATTAACAAGTCCGGAAGCTCGATCATTTCATAAAGAAAAATACAAGCCGGTTTCAGATCATGTTATATTAATTTCAATAGTATTTCACCTTGGCAGATATTATTTATTTCTACACACATTACAATATTACACATATATTACGTACTTGGCACATTTCGCTGTGTAGAATGATATCTATCACTAAAATACTCAAATTTATAAGTCCGACTCCTTTATTAGATCTTAGATATATGACTGTGTAGCAGAAAATATATGACGTGATAGTTATTATTTTACTTGTTGCATGATATTAAAACAATCGGTTTTAAAGGGCACTGAATGAAGCATGGACTTGATGAATTAAATACAGCCTAATAATTAAGTCTTACAATTTATTTTGCTTTTATTATGATATTTCTTCCGTCAAGCTACTTCTTATAAATCCCTAGGGTTTTATTTATCAAAAGTAGTGGAGTTAAAGTTCAATGGAATCCATTCTAATATCTTTTCTTTTTCAACACCTTTAAAAACACCCCAGTCTTTAAAATTTAGCACTAATCTCCAAATCTTTTGCAAATACAACATTTTTATGACCTGCTTTATATACAATGTGTAAGGGGATATTAACTTCGCCAAGGCACCGGATCCCACCAGATTTGTATTGCTTTTGGATTTATTGAGATTGCTTTAGCTCCTTACATTTCACATTTTTAATTCAAACTACACCCAGAAACTTTTTGGAAATTCTGTAGGTAAGACGATGTTGTTTTTAAGCTCGAATACCCATTTAAATGCCAGATGAGCAAATTATAACATAAAATTTAACAATAACCGCAATTTTACTTAAAAAAAACTAGTTTGAACAATTTCAAGCCCTATGCTTTTAAATTGCCTATATGAGAAATGGAAAAAAACACGTATAATTATGTAATTTCTCCTTTCTAAAATTGCACTAAAATAATAAATTACTGTCATAAATTATATTACATGTCCCCGGAATATTTTCTTTTAAATATAATCCAAGAAAAATAATAAAAAAAAGGCATTACTTAGCACTAAAAATAAATTCCGAAAAACAACGGTTTTTTCTGATGTAATTTTAGAAACAAAATTTTTACTTTTTGCATCAAGGTCAACCATCGCGGAAATTGTTTTTGTCCTGTGCAGGAACTACATGTGTGACGTATTAGATTTCAGAGATGTGGTACTTTTATATTATATGCAATAATCAGTTCATATTCAACTTTATTGATCCATAAAATTACATTACAATTAAAGTATATGCATGACTGAGGGAGTCTGCATTATTTCAGTTCCCCAAGAGCAAGTCTATTTTCCCCAGGCTTTTTTTCCGGTGATTTTTAGGGAATCAGCAAACTATAAAAATTTACTTTTATATGGTGAAAAATCAGTAGAGGAATAATTACTGTAACAAAACAATTTTTTATGGTTTCATGATGTGATTAATCGAGTGGATTGTGTGATAATTTGTATAAAAGACTTTTTTTTTAACTATCAGGATAAGCCAATCGCTTGATCATTGTCACAAAACCAAAAAATCTGATAATTATATTTACATGCTCTTGAATCCGCAAATCAACGTGCTCTAAGCCCTGTTACTGTCTCCGTCTGTCCCACACGTGAATTATTTTCGCCCGCGCCTTTCGAGTAACCAGTATATTGATGTTGAAATATATACATTTCCAATGTCTTTGTTCGAGATAAAATTGCAAATGTTTTATGTACTTTATTTTTCCATCAACTGTACTGGATCGTCGATAGGCGCGGTTAAAAAAATCAAGTGCAGATCGGGACAAATAGAGATAAGAAGCGGGAATTGAAGCACGTTGATTGGCGAAATCCATTCCATTTAAATACCGGTATAAGGAATAATTGTCAGATTTTTTTTCGATTTCATGACGATGATCAGTCGGTTGGCTTGAGTAATAATTTTATGCATTTATAAACGCCGAAGGCACGCAAGCTAATCACATCTTGAAACCGAAAAATAAAACCTATATTCCTTAAATAAAATACACTTATTTAATTTTACAATTAGTAATTTTATCTCGGACAAAGACACCGGAAATGTAAATATTTCAAAATATAGAACAAACATTTATCATGAATGTAATGAATGCATTGACTCAACACTTTGAGAATCAGGCTTAATAAAAGGTTATCTCCCCTAAACAAAATATTTGACATTGCTTTTTCATACATACATTAATCAAGAATATTTTTGGGTAAAAATCTCTTCAGTAAATTATTTTTTAATAAACACTACCTTTACATTGTCTTTGAAATAGAATATGATAAGAAATGATGTAAAAAATTGTAAAAGAGTTCCCAATATTGTATAACCTAGTGCAGCTTATGATAGTAACAACAAAATCATCAAAAAAAAAAAACTGTAAAAATTCTTATTTTTCGATTCGAACTGTATTCATGTATGTATAATTGTGTTGGCAATAATTATTATGGACATTTGGTCCCACAGTCTACTAGACACTTATCCTCGCTGAAAATATAAAAATTTAATTGATTCCAACATTTACGTATTTCAGTATTGGATATTGTTTAACAGTAGTTTCATGAACTGATGGTCATTACTACAATAATTATTTGTCAGCGGTTTTGAAATGCCCTCTACATATCTATATTGAAATAATCATTTCAATTACGAATGCTATTTCAATAGGGCTTACACCCTGTGTTGAGTCTTGAAATGCACATTCAACCACTATTTAAATAGTTATTAATATATTATATATTTCAATAGAGGTTGTACATGTAATATTAGTTCAGTTTTGATGCATATTCAACCACTTTTAATTTTTTTTTCAAAACTGAACGTTATTTCAATAGCGGTTTCAACCTGTATTTGTTTTTAAAATGCACATTCAACCACTATTGAAATAATTATTTCAATATTTAACGTTATGTATGGTTGCAACTTTGAATGCACATTCAAACAGTATTGAAATACTTAGTCTTTGTTCAATAGTGAACGTTATTTTAAAGGTGATTACAGTGTATGTTTGCTTTTGAAATGCACATTCAACCACTATTGATATAATTATTTCAATATCATTTCAATAGTAATTTCCACGCTCATTTGTCAAAATGAGACAAGAACTTTTTTCCGCGGACGGTTCCAAAAAATATATTTTGACATGAGATATTTCTGTATTTTTATTACATCTCATATTGATATTCATTCAATTTCATTGCAGAAAGACACAGTTTTTACAGAGCATAAGAAGTTACAGTAGATACTAAGAAGTGGAATTTTTCCTAGTCTCTAGTCCGTCCAAATGAAGGTAACAGATGAGACTAACAAAATATCTTTAAGAAGAGTCATCATTTTTTAATTTCTATGGTCGATACAATGACCATGTCAGCAAATACAATTTACCATGAGACAAATGTTGACTCAAGTTTTTCATACTAATTGTTAGTCGATTATTTATAAACTGAAATAGTCGACGCAATTTCCTGTTATTTCCCGATCAAAATAAGGAGCACACGGTGGGTGTGACCGGTCAGCAGGGATGCTCACTTCTTCATGGCACCTGATCCCACCTCTGATTTTTTGGAGGTCCGTATTTGCTCAGGTCTTTTTTCGCATTGTTTTAAGGACTTTTGATCTGGTTTACTTTTTTTTTGCTATCTCCATATGTTTAATTTAGTTAATAGGAGAAAAGTAAAATACCTATCCTTCGTCTTTCAGTCTGAAACAAAGCTCATTATTCTTTGAAATAATTTTTGAATATGAGAAAATTGGGCATTCATATTTGACATGACCCTGTTCCCGCAGATACAGGATTCCCACTTTTCAACTATTCATTACATTTAGAAAAGACTTTTAGGATTGCATTTTGAGATTTGACTGCTTGATCTTGACCTGTAAATTATATGCAATTTTACGAAACTTTAAAAAATAAGTTTTATTTTATAATGAACGGGCAAGCTTGGCAAGACACAAGCAGAGGAAGAAACAATTTGATTTAAACTTAAATAATTGCAGGGACCTTCAACACTATACTTGAAGCACATGCAGGTAAAAAAAATAATCACCTCTGTGTTAATCAATTCAAACGTTTAAGTCTAATATTTATATATAATGGACAGACCAGACATCCTGGACATACAGACAAGAATGTAGAAATTTGTTATAGAGAGTGGTTTTCTATCGAGAGACAATTCACAAGAAGTTGCTTGATCTGATGATAACAATGAGAGCTTCTCAACAAGAACCTATCTTCTCTCTTACACATGTACACAGACACACATACAGACGAGAAAGATAAGAGAATTCGATGTATAATCATTTATATCTTATAAAATTTACAATCGCTGTATTTTTCTACTAAGCCAATGCGTAATATTGCGACTACCAATGAGTACCTCGCAGTTATCTAACTTACTACCGCTCTTTTGCGGGGGAGTGGAGAAAAGTCTACATTTCTGGGGGCAAACGACATTGTTTACAGTAGTGACAATCGAATGATTCGAACAATTTAATTCCGAAATCACGACGTTTTGCCAGATATTGAACTTCAAATAGTAGATCGTCAAATAAGGAAAGTTTAGAATATTTTATCTGCTTAAAAATGTGACGATTTTCAATGAAAATTTAACGAGAAGAGTCCGCTCAATTAAAAATATCGTTAAAAATGTGACAATTTAGGATTAGCTCCTCTCAAAAATATATTAGGCTGGTTCAGCGATTGTTTAGCGAGGTATTCTACCAATATATTTTACTTATCTGTCCTTATAAATGCTACAACGATCGAAATTGCATTGTATTGAATAGCACATTGCCCCCACCAAACAGACGATTCCTACCTCCTTCGCGAAAGAGTTCCGCTAAGTTAAGTAATCGCGATATCAAGTATTGTAAAATTAATTTGAATACCAATTTTTGTTTGCTCAAGCGTTGAGATATAAGCGGAAAAACTAGCGCTAATGTGACGTCACATTGAGGTTACAGCAACGGCACGTTAGTGAAAATACAACGATATAGGGCAACAATAAGTTCATATATTTAGTATATTTTGGTGCTTTTAAAAGTGTAAAATGTAAATATAAATAAAGTTTTTAAGTTTAGTGTAAATTACTGGTGTGTTAATCACACAGACTTGCAGCTAGGCATATATTTTATTTATGAAACGCTAGCGATAGCTAGGGTTGATCCGAAAAGTCGAATCACAACGTCACGTAATTGCGTCTTAACAATAAAATAGAGTGATACACAGTACTATTGCTAATGTAATAAATATACTTGTATATACATTTGATGTGGATTCTTGTACTACATTATATGTAGTAATCATTTTTTTACATTCATATGAAATTGTGTACTGTGTTTATCAAAGTTAAATGTATAAATAAAAAATGACTCAAAGTTCACGACTTCTTTATTTAAATAAATTAGATCTAGATTTTGGTAAGTTACAAGTAAAACATTCGAATGAAAGAAAGGTATCAACTGTATTTTTCATAGTGTCTGACAGGTGTATATAATATTTTTCCAATAAAAGCAAATGCATCATATTTTAATCTGCTTTCATGTTTGCATGTAGTTTTGCATGCTAGTCCGATAAGAAATTCTTGTTTTTAAATTTTGCTATGGAGCATAATTTACCGTAAAGAGTAGCATTAGAAGCGTTATCTTAGCATTTGCTCAAACATGTAAAATATAATAAAATGTTTCGTACCCTGTTATAGTTTTTATTGTGGCTCAATATGGAAGACATTAGTTGGTGACCTTCATCCACAAATATATCATCCATAATTTATTCCAAATACTGAGACTATACCAGTTTGTGTAATTATTGTATTTACACTAATTATGTATGCATAATGAATATTAATGTTTTATAAATAGTAGAATTACCAGATAAACTTGTCCAACATATAACTGAATTGATTAGAGCTTGGATTAAAAAAGGATAGCTGTTTCTACTATTTTTGTAATCAAAATATATTATTATGCACTAGATTAGCGCTAAAGGAAATGATTCCAAGGATTAAATCTGAAGGAAAAAGATTTCTATATTTTTTACGTTTCTTGTGCCCTTGCCATGGATTCACAGGATATCAAATCGGTACACATATGTTTAACAGTTCAATATCCTCCAGAAAAGATTGCTAAAAAAATCAATTGTTGAAAGCATGTACATGTATTTTTCGTTTAATTGTATATTGTTTAACGTCCGTCTCGATAATATTTTCACGCATTCGAATACGCCACCTCTTGCCGTTGGAAAGCTGCAAAATTTGTACTATACTTGGCAGTTTCAGACATTGAGCAGGGATCTTTTACGTGTCAGCATCTACTGCGACAAACGAGACTGAAGTTTATACGGTCTCATCTGAAGGACCGGTTTTCATGTCCCACTGTGGGATTCAAACCCGTGTCTTAAGGGTAAACTCCTTATTTCGAGAATTTAGATAAGACGATGTTACCACTGCTCCAGGGGGCGACTGATATTGCAGGTTAATTGATTTTTCATGCTCTTGCCATGCGACATAAAAAGTTTAAGATTTGCTTCATAAAAGGTTGTTACATGTATATATTTAAAGGCGTGAGATAAACGAGAAAACGAATGTCCGGCTTTGTACGTGTATGTATACATTTTGGAAGAGTGTTGGTTCTAAGTCATGCAAGTAAAAATTACCGAAGATATAATGAAAGTGTAATTTTTTAATATTGTGTTCAATCTTCTACATGCATTTCTGCAAGCCCCTCCCCGCTAAAAAAATGAAAACAAAAGGAGAGACATACACTTGGAAAAAGATAAAAATAAAATGTAATTTAAGAAAACTTTTAAAATCTGAATAAAAGTGATATTGCAAAATATATATTATGGTTATTTCTTAGTGCCAGATTTTTGTTTGATGTTAAATTTTATTATTTTCATATCAACTAAAATGATTTTGATTTTTTTCTCCCCTAGGTTGGTCCTCGTAATTGGATGTTTATATGTATTATACTAATAGTACAATTAAATGCTGCAGGGTAAGTCGAAACTCTTCGGATAGAGAAAAAAAGGTTTTATAATCTTTAATAAAATTTAGATGGATATTTGACGGTATTAACTCAGACAAATGAGCTAGGGCGAAAGAATCTACTAAAGCGCATAAGGGTAATACACCTGTGCATGTACATTCTACTTATAATACAGATAAGTTTTTTTTGTTCAAATACAAACTTGTTATGTATCCTCAACGACAACAAGTGATAGCCAATGCTCATTGTGACGTTATGTAATGACGTTTAGTTTTCAGTTGAACCGGGTAAAAATTCACAGTGTAGGGTAACTTAACGAGGCCGAGTCTAATTATGTTCCCCAAACGAAGTTGGGGAACATATTGTTTTTACTCTGTTTCTTATTATTATTATTATTATTATTTTTCTTCTTCTTCCTGGGTACTTTTTTGTCCGGGAATGATCTCGTAAACTATACATCCGACTAAGGTGAAATGTTTTTAGGGTCAGTAGACATGTTATGTAGATTTGCGGAACGAAGGTCATTTTGCGCGCACGTGCTTGCAAGAGCGTGCACGTGCAACATGTGAAATGACCGATTTAATTGATATAGGCGTAACTTTTACAATTTTTGATGAAATATTTTGAAACTTATAATATAAGGACATATTAGAAGCATAGAGAATATGACATGGTCAAAATAGCAAGATCTCACGCGCATGCACGTGCGCTTTGTTCTGATTGGCTGAAACTAAAGTCTCAATATCTTTCTTGTTTTTTGACGAAATCCTTTGAAATTTTGAAAATAGCCATGCATTAGTATATCCTACAACATGATATAGCAATTATCATGAAAACACGTGCATGCACGTGCGCTGCAATCTGATTGGCTTAAACTTTAAATAGCTATAACTCCCTTGATTTTCAACCAAACAGGATGGGATTTGGAAAATGGATAGATATACTGAACTATTACAAGAAAATATGGTCACCATGCAGATGCATACACGTGCATGCACGTGCGCTGATTGACTGAAACTTTAACAGCTATAACTCCCTTGGATTTCAACCAAACGGGGTGAGATTTAGAACATAGATAGATGTAACGGACATCTACAAGAAGATATGGTCACCATGCTCATGTATGCACGTGCGTGCATGTGAAATGAGCAAACTCAAAAAAAACCTTGAATGAGCGTATCTTTTTAATACTTTTGGATTAAATACTTTATTATATTTAGTATATTTAAATATATAGATTGTGTAGACAAGATGATATGGTCATTACGCACATGCATTCACATGCGCACACGTGCAATGCTAAAATTTGAATGAACTTTGTACACTTCTGGGTAAACGTTGTTAAAGTCTCAAATAAATCGAGTTAGTCTTATTTAATGAAGCTTACAGGGAATATGGCACCAAAAAGGAGTTGGGGAGCGTTTGGGGAACATCTGTAACGGTTCCCGTTACAATTAGCACTAGTTATTTCTGACCTAGGGATTTTGATAATTTTTTGAGAATTAATTTTTACTGTTATATTTATTGTTTTAGGATTAAAAAATCGAATGTTTACCACCCCGATTTCTTAAGGGGGCATCTCAAGTGTTGTCAAACTTTACAATTGGACCCTATGGGAATTTGTTGGAAAATCGCCAAATCAGTACATTTTTTCATATTTTTTGTACTTTTGCCCTAGGGATTTCTTTTTCATTCAAGTAAATGAAAGTTAATGTAAAAAGTCACCAAACAGTGAAATTTCAAAAAAGTTCACCATCTCGATTGGTCTAGATAGTAATTATTAAGTTTATTTTTTCGAATCCAAATACCTCTAAAATTGGCATATTACGGTATAAATACATATCTTTGCAGATGAATTATCGGCGCATACTTTTTTTCGGCAAAAATAGCAATTTTTAGATTGCTAGTATGTTTCTTGGGAAGATATGTCATCAGTTTTTATCATAATATCCATGGACGTCTTGAACATATAGGCGAGTCAAGCGTCATTCTTCAGCGTCATGCATTGCTTACAAAATCCGAAAATGGTGACGTTGTTAGAGCCATTTCAACGTTCTTTTTCCAATTATTGTCGTAAAATCACATTTTCAGATCAGTAGGAGTTACAAATAATGTTATAATTTTGTATTAAAATTAAATTAATTTTCAAAGGTGTACTGTCACACAAATGACTGCATGAAATTAGAAAGCTGCGCAAAGTGATGCCCACTCGAATTAGACTCGGCCTCGTTAAACGTAATTTGCCCTAAATTCTTATCAAACAGGACTGTGCATAGGTTTTGCGCATAACTTTTATTCATCTTTAAAATATTTTACGTCAAACATGTCAAACAATACATTATTTTTGTTAAAGTAAATAGGGTATGCCCTTGTGCCAAATTTTTCTGGTGATAAATTTTATTTTATTGAGTACTAACGAACAATGATCATAATATGCACAAGCTATAAAATTTCCTCCGAGCTAAATGTATTAAAAAAATGAATTTAAGCTTTATCTATGAAATATATATAACCACTAAATCTTTTCCCTTGCTCTTGTTCTTAAGTAAACTATTGTTATCATTTCATGAACAACACTAGGCATACCGGGTATCACTGTACACATTTCTCTATCAGTGGCTATTCCAACAATGAAACGTACTATGACGTACATATCAATTTACAGTTATTGATTTTTTTTACCCCACTTTATATGATTAGTTATACAGATATGAATATAAACATCACAATTAAAAGTCTTCTTTGCTTGCTAGTACGGAAATTGATGTTGTATTTATCTTATTATTATTTTTTTTTTACATAATCCTCTTACGAGGGTTATTTATTTTTTCTGCAACCGCAACATTAATTTCCGTAATAACAACCAAAGTTAACATTTTGTTTTTGAGATATATATCGTTTGTGCATTTTTATTAACTCATTTTCAAAGAAACGCTTTTACCTAGCCTTATAAACTAACTTTCGTAATTTTGAGACTTCAAATGAAAAAATACATTACAAATTGTTTTCCTTTCAATGCATCCTAAATCAAAATGTCATTTATTCTTATTACTTTAATTTGTAGAAAGTCACTTTTCCAAAACTGTAATGGAACAATAGTATATGGTATCGACTGCAACATAAAGAAAAACACAGATGTTGCTATCATTAGTTCCAATGCGTTAAGCATTTCATCAAGTACAACCAAGCCATCCAATAGGTCAAGCAGAAGTATTTTCAAGACTAAACAGACAGCTTTGCTTTTATACGTGCCTCTTTACATGTACAAGTACTATAGATTTTAAAAATTGTACCGTACAGCTGTAAAATCATTTTAAATCGTTGGAGTCAATGCTCGTGGGCAAACCAAATTTTACTTGTACACTTGTTCGTTGAGTCCTTATTTCGGTTAAAATATGGTTGAGTCAATCAATAAAAAGGTATATAAAATAATCGTTTGTGAGGATGTGAATTCATCCGAGAGTAATGATGATCCACGAAATCCACGAACATTGGCCCCTCACGAAAAATGATGATTCCACAGTAGATAAAATAAAACGTTTGAGACTAAAATATAATATTGCATTCCATGAGATCTACAGAATCCAAGGTGACCTTGACGGTCGATACTAACAAAGTCAATTAAATTAGGTGATTATAAATGAAATACTTCATGAACTGAAAGGACTTTGATCTAGCATTTTATTGGAATGACTGTTTTTGACTAATAAAGGTATAATTTATATTAATATTAGAATCATCACTTCGTTTTTGGTTACGGCTAATTGACCTACTTTTCTTTTTCCTAATTGTCACTTGTTTGAAAACAAAAGAAGATCTATAATTTAATCACAAGATTTTATATCTTTTTAAATTTTAATTACAGGTTAAGTGTAACAATTTATACCCATTCTCTGTAACCACTTAAACTTTTTGGCATGCATAGTCACATATTTTTTTCAAATTTGGCTGGAAAGTACCACCTCATAACCTACTTCAAAGAATATAGTTAGATCATATGAATGTTGAGTAGTTACCATGGAAACGGTGTCTAAAGTTGATTTTTTCTGAAAAAATGCAATATTTGGGAAAGTTTTTTGAAGAAATGCGGCTACTTCAATTCATGCTACTCACAGAAATAAGACATATAACATCTAACTTTAAAAGGCATGTTAAAACGTTGGTGGTATTCTCTCTATAAATATGAAAATTCTTTGATTAAAATAGCAGACATTAATTTTGAAATTGAATTATCTCCCTTTGATAATTGTGAGCTCTTCAGTGAGAGAGATAAAAAAAATCATTATACAAAAATGACTGGAAGTTGTTTACATATTGTCAGCATACAGCTCTGTATATCCTTGAATTCGAGTAAACTCAACTGCTTTTTCCTGTTTATTTAATGTGCATACAAATTTTATCCTCTGTTTATATCCTACTATATGCAAAAGAATACTTTTGATATGTGAAAAAATGGTGAAATGTACAAGCTAGACTACATAGTACAGGAAATCAGCTCTGTACATAAGCATTAGTCTCAAGGTCTAAGGAGTTCAAAATGGGATTCAAGATAATCTTGAAATATCAGAATTACTAGTATTATGAATTTGTTTTTTTAAAGAATTACTGTGTCTCACGATGAGTCAGAGTGATAAACTGGAGGACAGCAATGAATACGGCGTTAAAAACCTATGAATTTTTACACTGAATGTTTTTATAGAGACTAATAATTCTTTTAAAACTGAATATGTCCTTGGCTGAAATGAAAAAAATTATACTGAAGAATAGCTACAATTCCCATCCACAGGTCGTTATTTCAAATTCAGCAATATTTTTTGAAACCCATGGTATAATACGTATTATATATGGGTTAGAAAATATTGTTACCTATACAACCCCCCCTTCCCAAATGAAAAAGAGTTTGGGCATTTTATTTATTGTTATTGTTTTTTTTTCTTTGCTCTTCAGACTTTTTTCTGTGAAGAAGAAAATTGATAATTTTCCCTAAAGATCATCTTGGAAATAAATGATATGTCCTGCCATGAAAATACACCTAACTTAACACCCCCTAACTTTCTGGATCAAAGGTCGTCCCCTAACCCATAGTAAACGCAGTCATATTATGTAGTTTTTAAACAGGATAAACAAGTATAAAATATTTTGTTAACCAGTCAAAAATATACTTATGATGATTGGGGTAGTTGCATAGAAATACAAATTGTCTGTGAATCAAGTTTAAAGTTAATGGTTTATCATTTCTCTGGACTAAGATACATCATGATTTAAACTTATACGTAGCAGTACAATATTAAATCTGTCTAGCAGTATTTTATTAATAATAAAAAATAATTTTTTGACCACCCACTCCCCCACCCCCCACCCCCCCCAAAAAAAATAATTAAAGCACAGTAGCAGATTATTTGAACAGGTCCAGCAGATTTTTACAACAGATTATTATTGATTAAACTTTGGGAATATCAGATCTTTTGCGTAGATCTAGGCATATTTGTTTTGAAATATTTACCATCAACATCGCTAAGATCTAATTTTTTTAAAGAATGATATTTCAAAGTAAATTAGATTTTTCCGTCAACTTCTCTGAAAAAAAGTCACTGGAAACACATTTTGACTGTCACTTGAAAAGTTCGTTAGTTTTACTTTAAAAATGTACATTTAGGAGCAAGGGATTAGTTTACTAAAACAGCAGAAGAGTGTCTTTACATGTTTGTAGCGCAATTCTCTACATTCAAGAAGTCTTGCACTAAGTATGTAAAGTGTATAGTCGTTCAATATTCTTAATTGCCTAACAATAAAACCTTAAAACTGTACTGCATTTTCACATTATGCATCAAGCTAAAGGGAGAATGTAAAACCATGGCTGTTTCAATAAAATACATTCAATATACGGGATAGAGGTCAGAATACAACATTTACAATACCAGTATTCCGAATAACAGAGTATAAATGCATTATTAACAAGCTAATTCAAAGAATATGTGTCCCCTGCTTAAGGATATAAGAATTTGTGTATATTAAGAGGAGTGAGGGGGGGGGGGGTGTCGGAGGGTGGTGGGGTAGGGGATGGGACACTTAAAGTGGGGCGGGCTGGACCATAGAGAGTTATGATTTAAAAAAAACTAACTGAAACGCTTTTTGAGATATCGCTCGGAAATGAGTGGTTTACATAGAAACAATGTCTTTTTCTATCTTGACCTTTTGACCTAGAAATAAATAGGGGTCTTTTTAAGCCAAAGCAAGTTGTCGTATAAACTCAAATTGAAAAAGATCATAGGCTTCTTAAGATATCCCATGATAATAAAATGTTAAAACAGACAGGGGGGTGTATTTTTATAGACACAAAAAACGGAAATAAAAGGCCTATTTTCACCCAATTTCAAGGTGATTTACAGCTAAAACTGTGTATTTTATTAATATATATATACTAGTGTGTTTTACTTATTTGCGTAAAACATGAGAAAAAAATCTACGTAACATTTAATTACATCCAAGATTTTTTTCAAAATATGGTAAAGCTTCAAAGTCCTATTTCATCGACTCCTCCCCTCCCCCACCCCACCCCCTTATTTCAAGAGTTGGAATAAGGGATAATGTACTATTTAGCACTGGTATTAAAATAGTGATTCAAATACCATTGAACTGTTTTTTATATTAAATAAAGATTTTATGGCTAAATTGCCATTATTAATATTGAATAAAATGGTCGCAAAATGTAGGCAGGAATTGACAGTTAGCGTGCATAGTCCTTTATATACCATTGTGACCTTGAACTTTGACCTTCTGTCCATATGGGCACACATTCAGATGATGCTAGTTATTGTTGACCAGAACTGTAATTTTGTTTCTTCATTTGTTGTTTTAAAAAAGTATTAGTTAATATGACACAGACAAAATGTTTAGTTTTCTTAAATATCTATGAAAATCGGCCATTTGACCCTGACCTTTGACCTTTAGTCATGAAAATAGATTTTTTTCGCTTTGTTTTTGCTATTGTTAACCATATAACTAAATTTGATTTAATCCATTTTAAAATACTCAGGCAATTATACAATCCTGATTGTATCTACGTATTGTACTTTTTTAGGATTTTTTAAAAAAGCATAAGTTTGTAACCATGGTAACATGAAAACTAAATATGAATACCAAGTAGTTCTTTGTAGTTTGTATTAGAACTATATATGGACTTTCAAACAAGTGTATTCATTTTTTCCAAACTATCCGCAAAAATTTATAACAGGCTTTTCAAAAGAGCCTAAAATCTACAATTTTCCACAAGAAAAATACTACCTATAAAGGAGGGATATTTTTTCTATGAGAAAAAAGTTACTGAAATGCTAAAAATTTTCTAAAGCACTGTAAAATGATGTATTTTGGCAAAAAGGTAAAGGTCATGTTAATAGCTTGTTCCATTAAATACTTTAAATAAGTCAAAAAAGTGTCATTTTTCATAAAAATTTAGCGATTTTTAGGCCATGAAAAATGTATGTTGGTTGCCATGGTAACCATGGACCATAGCATCCATTTTATTATGAATTTTAGGTACATACGTCAATATAGGAATGTATGTAAGTTTCATAAAAATGCGTGCCACACTCCCTATATATGAGTTTAAATGCTTACAGAGAATGGCTATTAAAGTGTGACCTACTTAATATATTTTATAAATCACTTAAATGTGCACGATAAGTTAATGGCGTTTTTCGCCTAATCAAAGAGAGGAATAAAAAAAATCTTAAACAATTTGAAAATTGCAAAAAATTGCATAAAATAACAAAATAATATGTGTCAAAATTTTATAATATGTTTAATATAAATCAGGTATAAATCTGGAGCTTCGTTTTCATCAAAGTATATAATCATTACAGCTAAGGTGCGTTTTAGAAAAATTTTTGGTTTTGGCCATGTCATAAAAAAATAATTATTAATCAGGATGTCTGCTCTTTTTCAGTTCTTTAATGATTACAACAAATATTATTTAATTATGAAATACAAATGAAAAGGAAAAATTAAATTCAAAATTCTTTTCAACTTTTTCGTGTGATGTGGCAATCAATTAATTAGCAAATATATCAATGGTGAATTCAGAGGACGTTACCATTTTAAAATTCTAGGTAAATATTTACATACATCTAAAATCAATTTTAGTTTGTGAAAATTGATGCGATCTTTTATAAATTCTTTTATTTCATTGACGAAATTATATATATATTTCTACATTAGGCATAGAATTAATTAATCTTTTTTAAGTAGGAAGTACTTTTCTATGATCCATAGGAGGATGTATTGACTTTTTCGTTTGATTGGAATCCTTACTTACCTTCCAAAGTACTTTTATCTGTATTCAACTATGCATCAAACTAGAAAAAATGAAAATATATTAAACAAATAAATAAAACATCACCCAATTCTAGAGAACAGCATTTTAAATAACTGCAAACAATTATTTTATCTAACAAATAATCTAATTTTTTTTAGATGTGAAAATATTATTTGAATTGACTCTCACTGATGGTGACGCCACAGTAAAGTGAATAATTGTAGAGCAAGACTGAAAGGGCAAAAACCATTAAAATGTACCTTTCGAATTGAATGTAGTTAGTTGTAGTCAGATGATGTTTATTTTGAGCTAAGTATGAAGAATCTATCAAGTTTAAAATCATAATTTTACCGTCAATTATTTTTTTTGTATATGTTTTGCTTTGCATACTGAAAACCAACTTTATTTCGCGTTTTACCTAGGGTAAACTTGTTTACGATGATTGATTTTCGCGATCAAGGTTTTTGGATCTGTTATTAATAGACACAGAGGCTTTAAGGACTGGTTCGCGGCGAGAAATATTCGCGATGGCAAGTCTCTCGCTAACTACGCGAAAATTTCCATCACGCGAATAAAAGTTGGTTTACAGTATACTATATAACCTTTGGCTCATATGTTAAGTCAAACTTTTTCAATATCATGTACATCTAATTCATGATTCATTGTTTTCCCTTTTTAACCTATTTGTACGTGTATATTTCTTTTTTTATATTTTTATTTAGATATTTGTTTTTGTTTTAATTTTTTTTTTGCACTTTTGCTGTTGTATTATATAGTGAAGTTCTGGGAACAAACATATGATTTATGATTTTAAAAACTACAATTTACTGTCCTAATGCCACTTAATATTTTTATTACGGTTGTGCAACTATAAGCATTTGAATAAATATTATATTTTATGAACTTACGGTTGCCTAAAAGGATTGTATTGTATTTCATGGTCAGACTTCATCGCTCTATTTTTGTTTGTGTTTCATCATCAAAAATACGAATTTTGATATGGTGCTTAATATATTCTTGTCAGGATAAATTTTTATACATGTACAATCAAATGAATATATGATGAATGTGAAAGTAAAAATATTGAAGGTCTTTGACTGTTTTGTTCTCTTTAAATCTGTGCATTATATACATGTAGTAAACTGAATAAGAGATTTTAAGAATACACTTTCCAATCATATGAAATCCATTAGTAGAAGTAGAATTGTGCTTTCAGGCTAGTTGAACAACGAAATAAGTATGTGTCTGCAATGCTATTGTCATTGAATTTGGTATGGCAAGTTTCCATGGTTTTCCTCCTGTAAACTTGACCAAATTTATTAGAACTATATAGATAAACATAAAGAAATGTACATTTGCTAGGTATTGAATAGTACATGTTTATATAATATTTTCTTGTCAATTAGAGATCATAAAAGATATAAAAATGATAAATAAGTGCCCTACTGCATGTTCCTTGGATAGAGTATACTGACCAGTATTAAGAGTAATGCAATGAAGAAAACAGACTTGTAAGCTAAAACAATTATGTAATAAGATCAGAAATAAAAGTTGTGACGTGGTTATTTGACAAGACAATACTTGTACAAATTTATATTTGCAATGTATGTTAACTTCTGTATGATACTGTATGCTTGAATTTATGAAAGTGTTTTAATTACATTTTGTCTTGTGATGAGTTATTTCTTTGTAAAAAAGGAAATGATTTACCTGACACAAGAAAATTGTTGAATTGTATAATATCATGAGGTGCTTTTTGTATAAAAGTCTATTATAAATGTGTAATATTAATTGCGTTTTTAAAAAAACGCTGAACTATGCATTTGCATCAAATTCCAAATAAATATAAACAATGTTGTTTTTTTTCTGTAAGTGAAGTCTTTCAAAGGAGGTAAAAAGGGAAAAAAAGCAATGGACAATTAATGAAATTAACTATATCGTTCGAACTTGTTTCACGTATGCGTTTTATATTTTGAAATAATTTTTCCTGTTCTTTGATAATTCACGATGTACATTAATTTTGAAATTTGTATTTTTTTATTTATTTTCGTTAAAAATAATCATTTTTTCTCTTGGCGTCAATGAAAGTAAAAATTAAAATTTATTGCTAGTTAAGATAACAAAGACGATTTATGAACGGAAAGTTGTTTCTATTGATGGATGCATTTTGAAACTTTATATTTCCAAAGAAATTTTGTAACTTATTTTTGTAATTTCAAGATATATTTCACACAGTAAGTGAACGAGTTCAAGTGATATTTCTGATTGAAAAAGAACTTGGTGGTTTCTGTAATGTGTATATTTGAGTGTGCTTTAGGAAATCTAACAAAATTGACATAATGAAATACAGTGTTATTTGAGTAAAATTGCATTTAGATGGTCCCTGTATAAAAAGAACGGATATTTACGGAGTTTATGGAATCATACATACAGAATTAAAATACATTCGCTATATATGTATATATTTTAATGATGCAGAAATGAAAATAAAATGTTTAGTAAAGAATCAACTAACATTCAAATTATGTGATTTATAGTCAATGTATAAAATAAGGATTCCACAGTGTTTAGAAATTCATAAAAAATATTTGTAAGTTGTCACCTGCAAACGGGGCTCATAATTGTTTCAGTTGATGTAAATCGCAATGTGCTTTATATATAGCAGGGGATGCTCACTCCTCCATGGCACCTGACCCCACCCCTTATGTTTCGGAGGTCGCGTTTGCTCTGTTCCTATTTTGTATTGTTTTATGGACTTTGATGTTGAATACTGTTCGTTATCTCCAAATATTTCATATAACAATTTTAAACAAATGTGTTTTATGTAACAAACAAATTGGTAGAACTAGCATATCACAAGTCATGTTTAAAACATCATTCCGAAGGTTCTATGGTCAATTTAATGACCTTGTCAGAAAACCTTTAATATAATCTGTCATTGCGTCAGATGCTGACTGACATTTTACATATAGGTAATTGTGGCCATTATTAACACGCTGAATTGTCGGTTAATTTTCCCATAATTTCCCGCACACACTTCCATTTATTTTGTTAGAATGGACATCAGAGCTTGAATATTGTTCGTTTTTTCCACATATATCTTGAAATAATGAATAACAAATATAGAATATAAAATAGTCCAAATAGCCAACCTGGTTGTATTTTGTGAAGAGAACATATTCAAATTTTAAACCTATGTGTCAAAAAATTCAACTTAGACTCATTTAAGAACTTACCCCTTCTGCTATCGACTATATGTATGCATATTTTCTTGGAACAGAAAATGAAACGGATAACGTGGGACACAGAATGAATCGGGGTTAAATTTGGACTATGATCAAACATAATTCATGTAGAATGTGAGACGACCTGTGTGACTTGACCTAAGGGTCTATATGTATCGCCTAAAACTCATTCCATGACTGTACTTACCAAGCATTTGTGTTACACATCTATATTCAACAAAGAAGAATGTACAGTTACAATACAAATTAAGCCCTGTATTTTTCAAAAATATGAATGTGATATAAAAAATTAAAATTCCTTCTTTCTGAATCATAGGAATTCTTATGCAGTCAGAATATTTAAATCGTTTTTCTCATATGAACTCCTATATGGTAATTGTGACGACATGAACTGGTGCATTTTCCCGTATTTTCTTAAAAAGTTGCAGGAGACATTAATTTTCAGTGGAATTTGCTTTCAGAAAACATACTCAGCCACCGTCGCCCACAAAGATTTTGATATACTGTGAAATCACTAATTTTCGTGGGGGTTTAATTTTCGTTGTTTTCGTGGTTTGAAGAGACCCACGAATTTATGTCCACCACGAAATGTAAATTTCTACATGCACAACTACTAAAAAGGTTTTCATCCACGAAATCAAATCCCCATGAATCAAATTTTTTTCCTCAAACCACGAAAATTTGACCCCACGAAAATATGTGATTTTACAGTATGTGATTTCTCAAAGCAGTTTACATTATACATGTAATATATCCAAAAATTGAAGTGGGCGACGGTGGCAGACACTATTTTCTAAAGGAAAGAAGCACAGAAATGAGTCATTCTGAGGCTTTTCTGCATCAAACTTAGAAATGTACCAAATTAGTGACGTCGTATATTCAAAATGGTCCTACTTCATGCTATAATCTTTATTAATTTATCATATTCATCTAGACTCAACTATTTTTTAATGCATTTTGAGAACTTTTTCAGAACATTAAATTTTTAGGGCATAATCAAGCCAAAACCGTACCATCTTCTTTTTTTATTACCTTTTTAAAATTTTAAATTATTTTCTAACGATTTTTAATTTATTTATATATTGTAAAAAGTATTATTAAAACAAGAAAAAAATCTATTTTATTTTTTCATTCAAATAAAAAAAAGTATTTCCTTCCCCTCCTTCCTCTTACTTTCACTTGCCAACCACCTGTAAGAATTTGCAGAACTATACAGGTCATATACGCTCTTTAGCGAGAATTTACTAAAAAGATCAATAAACTGCAGACTTCAATTAATCTAAGAATAGCATGATGGGTATTTACAGTTCTATTTTTAAAGAGTTTCACTGCGTAACGTGTATCTATTTCTAGATATGTCTTCCATTGACCTTAAAAACTTAAGAAAGCATATAGCTACCAGTTCGATATTTTAAGTTTTCATTAACAAAAACATGAAAAAGGAAAGGGATTGTTTATCTTTCTGGTCTTTAAAAACGGAATTTTAACATTTTTGATTTCAACATTGCGTATATGTTCAGGTAAGTGTTTACATTTATAAAATTCAATTTGAAAATTCATCGATCATAATTTACTTTATAGCATGTTCTAAAGGATGAAAATCATGCAGTGTTTGTATGTTATTTATTGGTAGGTTTATCTCTGACGAACAAAAACAATGAAGGATTATACAAGCTTAAATACAAATTAATAGAAGAGATTAAAGGTTAAAAATCGATTATTGTTCTCAGATTTTTTAATGGTATCGAACATCTCTTTTCAAAAACATTTGAGATAGAATTGATAAAATAATGTAAATAAAAAAAATCTATTAAATAAATTTTAAGTTATACATTGTATTTATATAAAAAAGAATGGCCACATAAGGTCAAAGTAGGCATTCTCAAAAACCTTTTCAGCCATAAACACATGTATGTCACCTTTTTGCTCCCTTGAATGTTCAATGTATAAATCATATTTTTATATATTAATGTTACACAAATTGATTCTGTTTCGAAGTTGGTACTTTCTTTATTGTCTTGATTGTTTTGCTCTCTTGATTGTTTTTTTTTTTGTCTCTATATTATCTCCCAAATAAATTTTGTTTGTCAATGAAATAAGAATTATTTTCATTTAAGATACATTTAAAGTTACTCTTAAACAATTTTCCAAATGTCAGACTAGCAACATAACTCTTTGTATATTCTGTTCTTTAATCAAAAAAGGATTGAACAAAATCGGATGAATCAATTCAGTGCTCAATAAAGTTAAAATCAAGATAAAACTAGATGTATTTTGAACATTTAGCTAACTAAATAATTCTTACACCCCTGCCATTCCCACCCACCCCGCCTTCTATATGATTATAATGGCAAAGTCTGCCTTTTGCTCTGGAAGACATGAAATAATTGGCAGATTATAAAGTAAAATAAGATGTTTTATGAAAACGTCAAAGTATTTTTCCATCTTATTACGTCAGTCTAGTCCAATACGAAATTCGTAATATTACAACAAAAAAAAAACAAAAAACAAAAAACAAAAAAAAAAAAAAAAACCGGAAGATTACGAGAAAGCGTAATATTACAAGTTATCGTAATATTAAACTTATATTACAATTTTTCGTAATGTAGTTAAATTACGAATACGCATAATATAGCAGATTGGTCGCATTGGTCTAAATCACCCGAACTCCCTACTTTTCTTGCGAAGTCTACCCTAAAAATCACACCCTCGTCTCATAATTCAACTGTTCGGGCAATTCTTATTGAAATACACCGAATTCAAACCTCAGTAAGAGCCGTGCAAGTTATCGCTCGTGACATCTCGTAGTAAACGTCATACTTTGCTACCCGCCACTCAATTTCTTGCAATGCTTGAATTTGTCTTGGATTGCAAAAACTTGTAATGTAGTCTCTTTCAATCTGCTATATTACGCGTATTCGTAATTTAACTACATTACGAAAAATTGTAACATCAGTTTTATATTAAGATAACTTGTAATATTACGCTTTCTCGTAATCTTACGTTTTTTCGTAATATTACGAATTTTCGTATTGGACTGGACTGTACGTGGTATTGAAAGAATTGCAGATAAGAGATTGGTACCTTTCAATATTAAATAGAAAGAATGGCATTGTCCATGTTTTGTTATGAAACCGAAAACATGTGTCTGATCAAAAACTAAAACAGTCGGTGCAAAATGGCACTAAACAAAGATTTTGTTGAAGTCTTACACGTGTATCAAATATCATTCATTTGTTTAAGAAGAGTTGCGGATTAGAGACAGATGGAGGAAAATGTACGTACACATACACAGACATCCTGACCACTATATCAGTATATCTACTCTTCCGCCTTTCAAGGGGGGGGGGGGTTATAATTATATTCAGTTTGACCCAAAATATTTTCTCATTGTTTACCGTGATATTCATTCTTGTATGTATTTAGTATATTGCACCTACTACAGCTTAGGAAAAGCAATTATAAGAGAAGTTGCAAAACTTACTTTTGTAATAATTATCCGTCTTCATGTAGGGTATGTTAAAATTATAGTAAAGTACTACGCATCTTTCATTTCTACACTTTCAAAACATATACGCAGTTAATTATTATTGTAACCATGTCATATAAACTAGGTCACTTAAAAATAGTGCATGATTGCATTGACTTGATTTGCCTTTAAAAAATCGAAATAAGATGTTTATTTTCAAATAATTAAAATGAATACTTTGTGATGATCGAAATATTAAAAAAAAGAGGCCCATGGGCCACATCGCTCACCTGAGAAGCTTTGACCATTCTGTTCTTTACTAGATTCCCCCCTTGTAATACATACTATGACCCCCTACCCCACTGCTCACAATTTAGACAATTTGAAATCTACACTACCCCAGGATGCTTCCACATAGGTTTCAGCTTTTCTGGGCCTGTGGTTCTTGAGGAGAAGATTATCAAAGATTTTCCCTATATATTTCTATGTAATACCTTGATTCCCCATTGTGGCCCCGCCCTACCCCGGGGGTCATGATTTGTATAATTTAGAATCTACACTACCCAAGGATGCTTCCACATAAGTTTCAGGTATCCTGGCAAAGTGGTTCTTGAGAAGAAGATTTTTAAAGATTTGTTCTATATATTTCTATGTAAAACTTTTATTCCCCATCGTGGCCCCGTCCTACCCCGGGGGTCATGATTTGTACAATTTAAAATCTACACTACCCAAGGATGCTTCCACATAGGTTTCAGCTTTTCTGGGCCTGTGGTTCTTGAGGAGAAGATTTTCAAAGATTTTCCCTATATATTTCTCTGTAATACTTTGATTCCCCATTGTGGCCCCGCCCTACCCCCAGGGGTTATGTTTTGAACAATTTAAAATCTACACTACCCCGGAATGCTTCCACATAGGTTTCAGGTTTTCTGGCCCTGTTCTTCTTAAGGAGAAGATTTTCAAAGATTTTTCCTATATATTTCTATGTAATACTTTGATTTCCCATTGTGGTCCCGCCTAACCCCCGTGGGTCATGATTTGAACAATTTAGAATCTACACTACCCAAGGATGCTTCCACATAAGTTTCAGCTTTTCTGGCTCTGTGGTTCATGACAAGAAGATTTTCGAAGATTTTTATTATATATTTCTATGTAAAACTTTTATTCCCCATTGTGGCCTCGTACTACACCCGGGGGTCATGATTTGTACAATTTAAAATCTACACTACCCAAGGATGCTTCCACATAGTTTTCAGCTTTTCTGGGCCTGTGGTTCTTGAGGAGATGATTGTCAAGGATTTTCCCTATATATCTATGTAATAATTTGATTCCCCATTGTGGCTCTGCCCTACCCCGGGGGTCATGTTTTGAACAATTTAAAATCTACACTACCCCGGAATGCTTCCACATAGGTTTAAGCTTTTCTGGCCCTGTTGTTCTTAAGGAGAAGATTTTCAAAGAATGTTCCTATATATTTCTATGTAATACTTTGATTCCCCATTGTGGCCACGCCCTACCCCCGGGGGTCATGATTTAAACAATTTGAAATCTACACTACCCCAGGATGCTTCCACATAAGTTTCAGCTTTTCTGGCCCTGTGGTTCAAGACAAGAAGATTTTTGAAGATTTTTCCTATATATTTATATGTAAAACTTTGATTCCCTATTGTGGCCCCGCCCAACCTCCGGGGGTCATGATTTGTACAATTTGAAATCTACACTACCCAAGGATGCTTCCACATAAGTTTCAGCTTATCTGGCCTTGTGGTTCAAGAGAAGAAGATCTTTGAAGATATTTCCTATATATTTATATGTAAAACTTTGATCCCCCATTGTGGCCCCGCCCAACCTCCGGGGCTCATGATTTGTACAATTTGAAATCTACACTACCCCAGGATGCTTCCACATATGTTTCAGCTTTTCTGGGCCTGTGGTTCTTGAGGAGAAGATTTTCAAATATTTTTCCTATATATTTCTATGTAATACTCTGATTCCCCATTGTGGCCCCGCCCTAAACCCGGGGGTCATGATTTGAACAATTTAAAATTTACACTATCCCGGGATGTTTCCACATGCGTTTCAGCTTTTCTGGCCCTGTGGTTCATAACAAGAAGATTTTCAAAGATTTTTCCTATATATTTCTATGTAATACTTTGATTCCCCATTGTGGCCCCGCCCTACCCCCGGGGGACATGATTTGAACAATTTAAAATCTACACTACCCCAGGATGCTTCCACATAAGTTTCAGCTTTTCTGGCCCTGTGGTTCAAGACAAGAACATTTTTGAAGATTTTTTCCTATATATTTCTATGTAAAACTTTTATTCCCCATTGTGGCCCCGCCCAACCCCCGGGGATCATGATTTGAACAATTTAAAATCTACACTACCCCGGAATGCTTCCACATAGGTTTCAGCTTTTCTGGCACTGTTGTTCTTAAGGAGAAGATTTTCAAAGATTGTTCCTATATATTTCTATGTAATAATTTGATTCCCCATTGTGGCCCCGCCCTACCCCCGGGGGTCATGATTTGAACAATTTAAAATCTACACTACCCCAGAATGCTTCCACATAAGTTTCAGCTTTTCTGGCCTTGTGGTGCTTGAGAAGAACATTTTTGAAGATTTTTCCTATATATTTCTATGTAAAACTTTTATTCCCCATTGTGGCCCGGTCCTACCCCCGGGGATCATGATTTGAACAATTTAAATCTACACTACCCCGGAATGCTTCCACATAGGTTTCAGCTTTTCTGGCCCTGTTGTTCTTGAGGAGAAGATTTTCAAAATTTTTCCTATATATTTCTATGTAAAACCTTGATTCCCCATTGTGGCCCCGCCCTAAACCCATGGGTCATGATTTGAACAATTTAAAATTTACACTATCCCGGGATGCTTCCACATGCGTTTCAGCTTTTCTGGCCCTGTGGTTCATGACAAGAAGATTTTCAAAGATTTTTCTTATATATTTCGATGTAAAACCTTGATTCCCCATTGTGGTCCCGCCCAACCCCCGGGGGTCCTGATTTGAACAATTTAGAATCTACACTACCCAAGGATGCTTCCACTTAAGTTTCAGCTTTTCTGGCCCTGTGTTTCTTGAGAAGAAGATTTTTGAAGATTTTTCCTGTATATTTCTATGTAATACTTTGATTCCCCATTGTGGCCCCGCCCAACCTCCGGGGGTCATGATTTGTGCAATTTAAAATCTACACTACATCAGGATGCTTCCACATAAGTTTCAGCTTTTCTGGCTCTGTGGTTCTTGAGAAAAAGATTTTTAAAGATTTTCCTATATATATTTCTATGTAAAACTTTGATTCCCCATCGTGGCCCCGTCCAACCCCCGGGGCTCATGATTTGTACAATTTAGAATCTACACTACCTTAGGATGCTTCCATACATAGCTTTCAGTTTTTCTGGCCTTGTGGTTCTTGAGAAGATTTTTTAATGACCCCACCCTATTTTGTCTTTTCTTGATTATCTCCCCCTTGTGAAGGGACTTGGCCCTTCATTTTAACAATTTAAATTTCCCTTTACCCAAGGATGCGTTGTACAAAGTTTGGTCAAAATTGGCCCAGTGGTTCTTGAGAAGAAGTCAAAAATGTGAAAAGTTGACAGACAAACGGACAGACAGAAGGACGGACGGACAGCTAGACGGACGACGGACAAAATGTGATCAGGAAAGCTCACTTGATCCTTCGGCTCAGGTGAGCTAAAACATTATGAAGAATACCATCACTTTATACATGTACATGTTATAAACATACATATGTATATACATACATATTATATGCTACATACATGTATATAATAGATACACATTATATATAATAATATTACAATTTATCGGACCCTAAAGAAACAAGTCGCTACGTACTCGACAATGTTCAAAACGGAAATGAAACGAACAAACTGAGTTATTGAATGTTCGTTTTGAATCTCAATTTGAAAGAAAGAGTATCCCACAATTCCACTAACGTTGGTCCCCCCACGAACAAAGGTGTGATTACAAACCGTTCAGTCGCAGAAATTCTTACTTCAGCTCTCTTATACAGATCTAGTTATAGATTTTTTTTTATACTTCGGCTTCCGATATCCTGCCGTTGAAATAAATCCAGTAGTTTAGATAAATAAAAAAACGAACAATAATCACTCTCAAAGCCAAGCAGAGCAAATATGGACCTCTTCAAATATGCATTTTACATTTATTTCACAGGGATACTCAAACAAAAAGTTCTATAAGTATATGTTTCACATTTTGTAGATTAAAGATGTCAATTTAAAGTTATTTTATTCCATGGATTATTTGATATAAATTCACGTTAGGAACACACGTCTTTATTTGTAATTTCATGAAATTCAAGAAAAATATAAGTATATAATATAATGTATGAAGACAGTTCATGTCTTTGTAGAACCAAATACATGTAGAAGTATAACAATACTCTTCATCTAATACACAAACAAATTTCAGACATTAAAAATTCCCTTTCACTTTCAAATGCATTTAGTTTTATATTTCTGATAATAATCCAATGTATTGCAGTACTGGTACTGGTGCTATCATCTGTGATGGAGTAATATTAATGTTCAGATGAGAATGCCCATATAATGAAACAGTGGACCAGAATATTACTGCTACATGGGCAGTAACCCAAGCCATATCTGATACAACAGCTCAGCCAGATTTAAATTCTACGGCAACGCAAATGAAAACGGCGAATGCAAATAGACAATTTACTTCAATCGATAAGAAATCTTTTTCCAAAATTATATGGCCAATTGTGGAAGTTCCAGTTGTTGTGTGTATTTTTTCTGTCACAGTTTTATGCAATAAAGCAAAAAAGAAATCTAATAACAATGAGAATGCATTTCTGAGTGGGTGATATATATATTTAGCTTTTCCAAAATCTTATGAGTAAAGAGAACAAAACCCTTGTTGTGGCCTTCAACTCGACATTTAGCTATATTATTGTAAATTAACAATGATTAGGATGTATCCCGGTGAGCTTGAGATAAATAATACCACAGAGACACATTTGATTCGTATTTAGATATTTGACTTGGGGAAAATGTAACTAGCAAGCTCTTTGATAAACGTGATGGTTTAAACTATTTAATCGTTAACTTCCCTTATTTATGCAGCAATATACCTTCATCACCTATATATGGAGTTTATATATCTCAGTTGATTCAATGCGCAAGAGCATGCTCTACGTATGTACAATTAAAAAAAAAAGAATTTCCGCCATCTCTGTTAAAAGTCAACATTTCTTAAGTTCTATGGTCAAAGCAATCACCATGTCAGCAAATACAATTTATCATGGTGTCAAATGCTGACTTACGTTTTTATACTAATTGTTAGTAAATTATTAAAACACTTAATTAAGGAAAACTTTTTTGTGGTTTTCTGATCATGAGAAGGAGATGGGTGTGACCGGTCGGCAGGGGATGCTCACTCCTCCATGGCATCTGATCCCACCTTTGATGTTTGCTCTTCTCCTTTTCTGTATTGTTTATTGGATTTTTAGCTTAAATACTGTTTGTTTTCTCCATATATTTCATAAATCATAAAACAGATACTGAAAATGACAGTATTTTAAAGTATTGAGTATGTGAACAAGAAAAAAATGTATGTGTGCATTCATTCGAAAAAAGGGATTAATTTTTACTGAACGTTAATAAATGATTTCAGAACTTTTTCTGTCTATTTTTTTTAAATTATTTATTTGAATTCTTTGAAGTTATTTATATGACTGCATACTTTAATAGATGTGTGTATATTATTTTACTTATTTTTTATGTTAATAAAAATCAAAATCTTTTATCTTTTTTCATTCACGAAAATTGATTTGAGTTTTGAAAATAATGATATATACGTATGGTCAAAGTTGAAGTTTTCAAATGTGGTCAAACTCCAAACTCAAAGGTTTAAATTAAATGATGCTGGGCTAGGAAAAGACATTGCCATACAAACTACACATATTATCACGCGTTCTCTGTAAGCACCAAAAAATCTTGGAAACGACATGTCTCGGATTTTGATGAAATTTTCACCATAGGTGTGTCTTAGTACAAAACTAGTAAATATGGTGTCGGAAGTTCCACACGTGCACTTGGTTGCCATGGAGACGTATTCATTGATTTCGGCCCTTTTTGGCCCTTTTTGACTAAATAAAAACATGAAAATTGAGGAAATGTAAATGAATATTTATCGGTATCTTATATACTCTAACAAAAATCATTGGATCATATGATAACATGAACTTTTGAGGTACACAGGGCATATAATCGTTTATACTCGAAATATTTCTCCTGTAAGAAAAAGGTCATGCAAACTGACATGGTTTCTAACAAATTGAAAAATGGGGAAATTTGCATTTTTGGAGATCTTTAAGGCTAAATAAGAAAAATTGTCGGCGGAAATTTTCCAAATCTTACGTGTGTTACTAAACTTTGGAATAAGTATTGTCATTTCATGAAAAAATATCAGTGGACTTTTGATCCTATTTTTAGTAACATGTATCTATAAATAGACATATTTTAGAAAAATGTGAAAAATCAAATTTTGGTAAAGTTTTAATTGTCAATGTTAGGCTGTTTAAATTTAATTCTACGTTTAACGTCACATCTAAAGTTCAAAACCTACGAGGGAGGGAGGAAAAAAATAAACAAACAAAATTTTCAAACAATTGTGAATTTATTCAAATTAACCAATTCAGTACATTAAAAACATTACAATTAAGTAATATTTTCCTTAGTATGTAAATCAGTTTGAGTCCTATTGTTAGCAAACAATGTAGTCTAAGACTGAATGTGCAGGAAAGTGGCTTTTAACTAGGCCTCAGTTGTCCTTTGGATTTATATTGCCACACGTCCATGGTACCCTGGAGGCAAATGCTTCTTCTTGTGGGAAAAGTTGATCAATATCTACAATCAAAATTATTGATGACAATATTTAAAAGTGTTCATGAAATATCCTCAAATTGAATTATGTCGTATTTTTTCTTAGTACTAGATCTACTAGCATTAAGTTTTGAAAGTGTGAATACTAATATTTGGACCATACTGATAGCTGTTAGATTATCTTTAATACCTTGAATTCCACACAAAAGACAGGATTCTTCACATCTTGGAATACCCCAACCACTTTCCTTACTCTCCTTCACTTGAAAGGCCCTATCTTCGGTAAGCTTCTCCCTGCTCAAATGGTTATGACAAGTATATTATCTTTCCCAAAAATTGTAGCTCTATTTGTAGGTACATAAATTATGAAGAAATCAATTACTTTACTCATTACTGTTCCTTTCGATTTTTACAGAAATATTTTTAATATGAAACATATTAGTAAGATTTAAATGATGCTTTTCACTGTATATAAATCTTGGTTTTTGACACAGTTTCCACTCAGTAAAAAAAGTTTTTCGATTCTCTCCAAAATACAATGAAAAGTTCAGCCAATAGAATCACGAACTGAGAGTCTGTCACTGTCAGTCTGTACATATGATTCGAAGACTGACAAAAAAAAAAATCAACAAACAAGACTTTGTCATTAATATAATCATAAAATAATCTATTTTTTACTTACATTTATGGTCCCAAACTCTTTAATTCTCTAGTTTTCATTAATAAGACACCAACTGCCTTAACTGCGGCTATCAAAGCACATTTTCTGTCACTACGGGAAGCAGAATTCAGTCGCTAATTGAAGAACCAAACCGGAACGGACATACGGAATTCCGAATTGTTTGTTTTTTTCAAAGACGAATTTCTCATAAACCTACGCGCGCGGGTGACGTTAAACGTAGTTTTAATTTTAAACAGCCTTACATAAATAGGAGGTATATTGTAAAATTTGAGATTTTATTGACAAGAGCAGGACACCACAAGCTGGTATGGATAATAGTTTAGGGGAATTCCCATTTCTATTTTTAGTATCAGGTGGCTAAATATAGATATGTTTCTGAATAGTAGGAAAAATAGCATTTTTGTTCTAATTGGGAGCTTCATATAAAAAGTCTGAACAAATATAAAGCTGTTCCCATTATCCTTTCAAAATGTACATGTGTTTGTACAATAATTGCCATAATATTGAAGATGGACTCTTGTTTCATTTTATAGCAACAATGGTCTAAAAATAGATTACTCGAATAATTGAGAAAATGTCGATTATTGCACTTTTTCAGGCACTTTATTGATGTAATTGCTGCATAATTAGGAAATATTTTGTAAAATCTGAGATGTCAATGACAAGAGCTGGAAACCACTAGCTAGTATGGATAATGGTTAAAGGGAATTCCCATTTCTATTTCTAGTATCAGGTGGCTAAATATAGATATGTCTGAATAGTAGGGAAAATGGCATTTTTGTTCTAATTGGAAGCTTCATATAAAAAGTCTGAATAACTATAAAGCTGTTCACATTATCCTTTCAAAATGTACATGTGTTTGTACAATAATTGCCACAATATTGAAGATGGACTCTTGTTTCATTTTATAGCAACAATGGTCTAAAAATAGATTACTCGAATAATTGAGAAAATGTCGATTATTGCACTTTTTCAGGCACTTTTTTGATGTAAATGCTGCATAAGAAGGAAATATTTTGTAAAATTTGAGATGTCAATGACAAGAGCTGGAAACCACTAGCTCGTATGGATAATGGTTAAAGGGAATTCCCATTTCTATTTTTAATATCAGATGGCTAAATATAAATATGTCTCTGAATAGTAGGAAAAATTGCATTTTTGTTCTAAATTTAAGCTTCATGTAAAAAAGTCTGAACAAATATAAAGCTGTCCACATTATCTTTCAAAACGTACATGTGTTTGTACAATAATTGCCACAATATTGAAGATGGACTCTTGTTTCATTTTATAGCAACAATGGTCTAAAAATAGATTACTCGAATAATTGAGAAAATGTAGATTATTGCACTTTTTCAGGCACTTTTTAGATGTAATTGCTGCATAATTATGAAATATTTTGTAAAATCTGCTATGTCAGTAGCTGGCCGACTCTAGGTAGTGTTGACAATAGTTAAGGGGGGGGGGGGGTCCATTTATATTTTTAGTATCAGGTGGCTAATTATAGATATGTCTCTAAATATCAAGAAATATGGCAATTTTATGCTAATTGGAATCTTTATATACAACTTCTAAACAAATATAAAGTTTTCTTACAATATGACTTCAAAATGTACACATGTTTGAACAATATTGAGGATGGACCATCGTCGCAAATCACGGCAAAATGTACGTTCCTCTCCCATTCTGGCCGTGGTTGAACGAGGCTAGAATTCTTCGTAGCTCATTAAAATATTGACTAATGCGAGCAAAGCACAGTTGGAAGATGAACTTTTTCACGACCTTTTAATATCCAATCGCAGTAAAGGAAATATTTCTTGTATACTGTTGACGTCAGATGTTGAATTCAATTCCAATGGAATCAAAACTTGTCACTGACTGAATATGTCGTCACAATAGAGAGACGTAAATATTCAAGATTACGACACTTTTTGTGATCAAACAGCAACGGGTAGGAGAGAGCTATATGCGGACTCCGGACCGTGGCTTGAGACGATGAGGATGGACTTTTGTTTTTTTTATATCAACAATGGTCTAAAAATAGATTCCTGGAATAATGGATTAAATGTAGATTATTGCACTTTTTCAGGCACTTTGTAGATGCAACAGCTGCATAATTAGGAATTATATTGTTAAATTGGAGATGTTAATGACAGTATCTTGTCACAACTAGTTAGTGTGGACAATATTTGAGGGGGTTCCTATTTCTATTTTAGCTCTTCTGAGCAAAAGGCTAAAAAAGCTAATGCTAAGGCCATTTGTGCGAAATGCGTCTGCGGTATGTGTTAACTTTGTAGAATATGGGCCATACCCAAGAACCCCTTGGCCAATCATTGTCAAATTTGTCAAAGCATGACCTTTGGGCAAAGGGCGTGGTCTCAAGGTTACTTCAAATTTGACCAAAATTTACACTTAACAAAATGTTGATATTTTGCTTTACTATAAAGACCTGGATCATCAAATCTTGTTAGTTGATGCATCTCAGGACTTCACATCATGTCAAAACAAAAAAAGGTCACGGTGACCTACCTTTTAAATTTTACGGGCTTTCGTTTTTATATTCATTTGGATCAGTTTCATGTACCCCTGAACTCTCTAAAGTTTGTTAATTATGGTTAGCTTCATTCAAGTATAGGATTTGTTTTCACCTGGCTACAGCAAAGTGAGCAAGTTCATCCAAAAAAAATCATTGGTCCATGTTAAGCCTAGGCATATTTTACACGGGAGGAAATAAATATACATGGTTATAAATTGATTTTGTCTGAAATAATTTCATCTCAAAACAAAAATAAAAAAGAAAACTATATTAAGATAAAAGTCTGGAAAAAAAATACTGTAAGAACACAAATTTTGTGGGCATAACATTTCCTTATTTTTTCATCTAAAAAAGGTTTGTGGACTTAAAATTTTATTGTTTTGTTAAACCAATGCAAAATATAGTCAAATAAAAATTTTGTGTGGGATTCTTTTTTTGTTGATAATTGTTAATAATGAAATAAATGAAATCTAATCCCCCACAAATATTTCTGCTTTTACAGAAGTTTTACAAATGGGTTGTTGCCTATTGATCAACATTTTATGTTTGTAGGTAAGGTAAATCCAAATTCAATATAGTATATGTACATGTATATAAAGTCTTCTTTATAACAAGGCCAAAGATAAAAGATTAAAAGTATCTCTGTTGATAAAGACCTGGTTTGATGTTCTGTAAATATTCGGGAGCCGAATCTTACCTCATTAACCCTCTTCTCAACTTATGAAATTTGAAACCTGTGTATTTTTTTTATTGAACCCAGGATGTATTTAAGTTAATAATACATTTTCTCACAATCAGTGCTTTTGCTAACTGACCCATTAACCCCCACCACCAGCCAGTAAAACTACTTTTAAAATTTTTGGGCTAAATTTACGTATCTCAGGTAATTATTGGCTTAGAATCATCAAACTTTGTCATTTGATGCATCTTGGATTTTCGAAGCATGTCGACCAAAAATTAGTTCACGGTGACCTACTTTTGAATATCTCAAGTACTTATTGGCTTAGAATCATCAAATATTGTAAGTTGTTGTATTTTTGGTTTTCCTAGATCGTTGACCAAAATGAAGGTCACCGGGACCTAATTTTGACATTTCAGGGCTGGATTTATCTATCATAGGTATTTTTTGGCTTAGAATCATCACACTTTGTCAGTGCATGCATTTTGGGTTTTCGGAGAACGTCAACCAAAAGCTAGGTCATGATAACCTACTTTTGAATATCGCAGGTACTGATTGTCTTAGAATCATAAAACTTTGTCAGTAAATGCGTCTTAGGTTTTCGGAGATTCACGACCAAAAAGTAGGTCACGGTGACCTACCTTTGACATTTATGGCTATATTTAAGTATCTCGGGTACTTATTGGCTTAGAATCATCAAACTTTGTAATTTGAAGCATCTTGGATTTTTGGAGAAAGATAGGTCACGGTGACTTACTTGTGTTATTTACGGCTATATCTAAGTATTCTAGTGTACTTATTGGCTTAGAATTGATAAACCTTGTCAGTTGATGCACCTTGGGTTTTAGGTCACTGTGACACACTTTTGAATACCTCAAGTGCTTATCAGCTTAGAATCATCAATCTTTGTCAATGAAGGCATCTTGTGTCCTCAAAACATTTCAATTAAAACGTATGTCATACTTATAGTATTTTACAGCTACATCTTCAGTCCTAACAGGCTAAGAATTATCAAACTTTGTCAGTTGATGCATCTTGGATGTTAGGATAGATTGTGCAATTTATCAGAAGAGCGATTCAAGGCCCTTAAGCCTTTTGATAGTATCAAGTGCCTAAATATAGATATTTAGGCCATTTATTGGAAAAACTTTAAAAATCTTTTCAGTTGTTCTGTAAACTAATTCCCGATTGTCCTAATTATAGTCTTTGACAATGTACATGTATCTGCATCTACAACTTTATTTTGTCCGAAGACTTAATTTTTTAGACAAAGTCTCAAAGACCGTATTCTGTGACAGTTTCTGTAGTCTGCATATTTTTTTTTTGATATTCACCATATTTCAAGAACCTTTTTGTCATTTTTTGTCAAATTTGTCACCGAGTATCTAAGGATGTTCGTTAATGTCAAACATAGGGATATTCCCTTTAAACAATAGGATATATTTGGGAATCTAATCTCTAATAACAAGGTCTTGTTAAATTGCAATTCACTGATCCGTTACATGGTTAATCTCAGGTGCATGTTGAAGCCCTCTGGCCTCTTGTATAAGAAGAAGGTACGGTTTGAGCTTTATTGTGCCCTTGAAATTTAATGATCTTAGAAAGTTGTGAAATTAGCTTTAACAGTCGATGAGTAGATAAATATGATAAATTATAAAAGAATATGACATGAAGGGGGATTGATCTGGATATATAACGTCATTAATTTGGTACACTTCTAAGTTTAATGTAGAAAAGCCTCAAATGACTCATTTCTGTGCTGATTTTTCTTTAGAAAATAGTGTCTGCCACCGTCGCTCTCTTTCATTTTTGGATATATTATGTAAACTGCCTTGAAAAATAACATATCTCAAAATTTTTCTGGGCCCAGAGTAGCATAGTATGTTTTCTGAAAGAAAATATTCCACTGAAAATTGATGTCTTCTGCAACTTTTTAAGAAAATACAGAAAA